CCCAACTGAGATAACAGGCCTCTTAAGAGGCATAATATTTGTAAACAGTTGTTATACTGTATTTTTTAGATAATAATGACGAGGAAAAAAAGTTTGTATTTTTCTAGTCAAAAAAATGTTTTAAAAAATGAGACATATCATCTTCAAAAGTCATTAAATCAGCCGGGGATTTACCTCAGTGGTTCTGCTACCCTCCTCACAAGCACAAGGACCCGAGTTCGATCCTCAGCACCAAAAAAAAAAAAGTCATTAGATCAGAATTTTCCAGCAGGATAATAATTACTTTGTTTCAAAATAATAAAAAAGTTAATACCTACAATTAAGTATTCACTATATATGTAAATATATTGAGAACATAAAATATATTTATGCAAACTAGTTGATTGTAAAACATAACTTGCATTAGAAAATTCCTGTCAAATCTTAAGTATTTAATGCTAATTTTGTCTAATTATTTGCAATCCTAACTAGTTATATATTATTTTATAAACATAAACAGTTCTTTAGTATACATAAAAATTTGTCCATCTTAACTTCTTTTAAAAATGTCTATCCATAGGAAATGAAATGTAACTTGATGTTAAAAAATATTAAACTATGCATTAACAACACAGGTTAATTATTGGCATATATATATACATAGATATGTGTTTATATATACATATAAAACACATATATGTTTTCAAAGCAAGCTTTGGATTTATGAATGAAGATTTTCTTCAAAGATGGCTGTTTTATATTTATAGCTGTGTTTGTAGCTAGACATAAAATATTTAGAAAATGTTATTGAATTATGTCTGTATTACCACCAGTAGAGATGCAAATACCAAATAAACTGTTATCATTACATATCATACTCTGTAGACTGAATAACATAATTATGTGCACTGGACAGCAAAATTCCATAATTTTATGGTTTTATGCTATCTATATTTAAATTGCTTCAGTAAAATATGAAACTTCAGTATCTTACAGGCATATTCTCCTTTTTCTAGAAGGTGACAGACAACCATAAGCTGTGTGAACCTCAGATTAAAGACCCATGCACTGTCACTAATTTTTCCGGGAAGGACACTTTGACCACACATTCCAGCACCTAAAGTCTCAAGGCACAGTCACTGTGGTCTGAAGAGACATGACACTGAGTGTGAGGCACCCTGGGAACAACTTGTGATGCTCAATACCATAAAGTCCTTGCAGCCCAGGAGGTGTTAACTTCATGATTCTGAAGAGAGCGAAGTGGGAAGGCACCCAGCCAGGAGAATGGGTGACAGCAGCGTGCAACCTGCACTGCCTTTAAAGCAATATGGCCATCTCCTCTACCATCAGTCCCTGAGGTTTTATTCTTGGGTTTGTTTAACTCACCTGACTGTTCTAAAAAAAAAAGATTTATTTACTCTTTAAGTCATTTGCATTCATTTTGCTGAACATAGCAAAGAATAGGATACTGGTTTAAATAACCTGAACTGTTTCTCAGGACCCTCATAGGGAATTGCTAAGTAGGCATAGACATGTGCTCCCGTTTTGGAGGAACCACAAGTCCCTGCTTTCCTCCTCCCCTGGACTCCTTTCCGATGCACCTTGCTGAATTTCAGCTGCTGCCTCCCAGCTCTCTGGAGCACCCAAGGTGGGTAATGGAAGGAATTCTGCAGAGGAAAACGAGTTGTAGGTAAATATACAGAAGCAGCAAGAGGCACGGAAGCATACTGCTGAAACAGTGAGACTGTCAGGAGGGAATCTCACCTGTAGTCAAGTTCTGTAGGGAGAGTCTTGCTCTGCCACCTGCTGATCTTGCCACTTCTCCCCACAGTGAAATCACAAGCCAGGCTTCAGCATAACCTGGCTTTCTCAGTTGGAATGACAGAGATGGAACAAAGACTGGAAAACTTGAAGTGTAATAGCTCCAGCTTGGATTTCATTTAGCATATTTTGTGTTCATGTTGATGTTGGAAAATCAATATATCCAAATTCAAAATAATTACCAGAATCACTCAGTGATTCCTTGGGAAAGAAATGGTATACCCAAGTTAGGATAGACTCCAAGCTAAGCTGGATAAATCTTAAGGGTATTTGAGTTAGGAGTCTTTATTTTATTTTGGTGTGGATGATTGCAATGGGGAGTACAATATCTGAGAAAGCCAGGACTAGCAACAGCTGAACTGTTAGCACCACTAAGCTTGAAAAGAAAGGGAGACTAAGTGCTTTCTGGAATCCAAGAAGAGAGTAGCACAGAAAAGGCCACACTGAGGCAAATGATGAGAGGAGAAAGCCTTCCCAGGGTGATACTGAAAGGAGAGCTCCAAGGGAATATCTCTTCAATGAGCCATGTCTCCCCATTGGGTCCACCCAACTGGATGCCAACGACGAAAGAGCCTGCACTGTATGAAAGTTCTGAAGGTGTGGAAGAGGGGAAGGACAAAAGCCACAGATTGAAGATGGCTGGCAGCCTACACATCCCCATTCTAGTCTCATCCTCCTGTATGAACCAGTTTTACCTAGTGGCCCAAATCAAAAGCCTAGTGAGTACATATGCTTAACAGGATCATTACATCCTCATCTTCTTGCAAATATATTATCCCCAAACCCTGCATTCTATGGCATAATACTTATGAAGTTTATTTCATTCTCTCACAGTAATGCCATTTTTTCTCTTCAAATCACTCTACAATCACTCCTGCCTATTGATTTCTTTGCAGTATCTATTGCTTTCAGAAATTTGTTTGCATCTTTGTTTTTTAAATCTCCAAGATATTTATTCATAATGTATCTCCTGTTCCCAGTATATTGCCTGATGCATAGCATGTGCTCAATAAATAAGTGTTGAACAAATCAATTCAGGATTTCAATACTTATTAGCTAAATATTGTAATGCATTTAAAATAGTTTATTGACATCAGTCTTAACCCTTTCCATGTGTCACTTGCATTTTTGGTGGTATACTTTCTCACATTCAGAAATATGATAACAGTACTCCATTGTTTAAAACTACTTTGTGGTTGTTTGTACCCTTTCAAATGGAGCATATCATTCATTGAGCAGATATTTTTGACTATAGACTCTGTACTAATAGACTGCATAGAAAGACCAGTAAGTAGAAGGGAAAAATGATAATGGAGAAGAAATTAGAGAGAGGTGTAGGAGACTAGTTGTGAGGCCCTAGATGCCATGGAAACACTGAGCTGTGGTATTTGGCCCAGGGCAGAGAAGGGCATGTGAAGAAAGACTTCACAGGGACAGATGGGTAAATGATGAGGAGGGGATGGGCCATGTCTTGAAGGAGCCCACAGACACACTTGTGTTGACTTTTAGCCTGTGCTTTAAGGACCTGCAGTGATTCAGTCCTCACATCTGTCAGTTTTGTGTTCTGCATTGTCTCAGGACTACCTGCTCTAGAGTAGTGATGTTTAGCATGCCCTAGGTGCTCCATGCTGAGTCCTCCTTCTGTCCATCCTCCTCCTATTTCTGCTGGACCAGGAGATGAGATTCTGTCATTTAGGAGGGCATCTATTGCTCTCTCTGTCCTCTTTTGCTCTGTTCAATACAAATGCATTTCTCAGAGCAACTGGATTTCTTTTCTCTGAGTTTCAGACACTACAAGTGCGGATTCAATGGCACGTGTCTGGAGGTGGAAACCTCTTTGTCCCCCTCACAGTAACTCCACAGCTACCAGAAGATGGGGAACTCCTCGGGGGAGCCCAGGACTTACCAACATTTTCTGTTCTGTTTGAAAAAGGTAAAGGATAGTTTTTCATCTGCTCTGAGTAAAAACAACCAAAACTTAACTTCTAGACAAATAAATCTCAAATGTAGTGAGTAGGAATATTAATAGAAACAAGACCAAAGAGGCAGAATATATTTGACCTTTAATTATAAATATGTCAATAATTATTAGTGTGGTATGCTCAAATTATTGACCATTTATACCTTTAAGCTACCATACATAATACAAGCATATTCTAAGCAATGGGTACTGATAAGATTACAGACAGTTGACTGGCATACATGCATATATGTTTTATATAACACATGCATGTATGTATCATATAATTTATATAGAGATAATTTAGCTCTTGAACATCTTTTGCACAATTTTTGAATTATAATTATATTTGAAGTCAAACCAGGCCAAAAGTAACAATTTAGAAACAATATAAAAAACAGCATGTAGATGCTACTTTATCATGATACAAGTTCATAATATTTAGCTCAGAAAAATTCAATTGATAAACAGAATATATAATTACTGAAATGTACACTGACTTTTCTCAGTTAATGCAGTTTTTCATGATTATGGGTATGAAGACATTGTGTTAAAAATATAATTCAACAGTATACAAATTACAAAATTCCAAAGATACCATTTTTGACTATTAAAACTCATCATCTAACCAAACATGTTTAGGAACTTAAAGTTAATGCTAATTATATAGCTAATGATTTGAAAATAGGTAAGAATATGAAAATAACATGGTGGATATTTCCTATTAACATTCCTATTTATAAAAATTAATCAAAACCTACAAAACTGATTAGAAAAAATTCTCTAACTATAATGTCAAGTTATGCTGCAAGTAGGTATTATAAGCATTTATACTCACAATGAAAAAAATGTAGCTTTAGATAACATGTCTTGCCTTCAATGAAACTTTAATTTCCTATTAATATTATAAAAGATACCTCTATATTTGTTTACTTTAATATTTTTTAAGAAAAACAATGAGTCTATGATCACCATGCCATATTGTTATACCTCATATTATTATATTTAATGGCCTAATATCATTAAATCCATCCTAAACATTTCCTTATTAATGAAGCACACGATACTGTTTACTGGCTACAAAGCCTTGCTTTTTGTTTTTGTTTTGTTTTGGTTTTGGTACTGGGGATCGAACTCAGGTCCTTGCGCTTGCGCAGCAGGTGGCGAAACCGCTGAGCTAAATCCCTGGCCCTACACAGCCTTGCTTTTTAAAAAAGTGATACGGAACTATCCGTGACGCTCAGTGAATGATGTTTCCTTCAGGTATTTGGATTGGTGAAGGATCTCTCGTTTGACTTGTCATTCTGGAGATTCTATATAAAAGGAAAAGCAAAAGTTAACAATAGGTTATTTCAAGTATTTTACAAATGTGCTTGTGATTGCTTATACTTTTGATTGGAGTCTGGGCCTGGGGTGGGGGGGTAATAATTCTGAATGTAGAATCCCAGTAGTAGAATATTCTAAGGTCTTTCTAATGAGTGTCATACATACTGTGGAATCCTATATGATTTTAAATAGTCCTATATTTTCTCAAATATTTAAGTTTTTCTTGGTTTCTCTGCAGATTTAATTGAAGATTTAAGGGTCTTTCAATTTAGCAGGCCAGAAAATCTTTATTTAAGATGCATATGCCCATGAAATAGGCCTATCCAGCAGCAACATGAATGAGGCCTGAAGCCCACTGGGGGATATTTTGCCTCCAGGTGTGAGGTGCCACTGTTCTACTGTTGCTAATGCTTTTGTTTGTTCTTTTCACAATGGCTTTTACTTTGCCATTTACCTAATAGCGGGTCTCGAGTTTTCATATTATACATTATGATTAATTTTAAATTAGGTGAAATATAATTGTGAACTAAATGCAATCACTTAACAGTATGAATCATTTAAAGTCTATTTTAGAGCAAATCCATGACTTTTGTCTATAGTAATAACAATGCTCTGATTGTTACCAGATAAACGATATGCTTTCCAATGCAAGAAAGAAAGAGCCACATGGCAGATGCACAGGGAATTCAGAATGACCTGCATGTTATTGACCTACTGTGCAATGCCATCGATAAAATCTCACAGGCCCATTTGGTAGACTTGAACTTTATACATTATGTGCGTGGCTGAGAAGTAAATGTCAAGAACCATTAACGTAAGTTTTTTTGCAAGGCTAGAAAATGGTTTCTGGGAAACAATGTCATAGACTCTCTAGGAAAGTGGAGTAACTTAACAGTGCTCTCAGGTATTTGGAGAAATATAAAGAAAAGTTTAATAAATTCTGAATGCTACTTTTCTTCCTTTGAAATGGACCCTAATTATTTGGCCTTCAAACTCTGTGTTGAAACCTGTGGGATAACTTCTTACAAGAGTAAGTTTCAAGGCTTTGGAGGAAAGCAGTTTTCTTTGGTACTCGTTTTGGTAAACATCAAATTACTTAGAAGGCTTGGATCCAACCATTGGACATATTTTCTTTAACTGTGTAACATTTAAAAATGAGTAAATTTGAATGTCCCTATGCAGAGCATGTGGTAATCATGTACCTCATCCCTTGCTGTTGCATACACCTCACTTCTGTCTTTCTCTGCATCTCCTGGTTATCAAGGGCTGTAAATCTTAGATTCCATCTCAAGGAGCAATGCATCTACATGTACTGAATCAGTCTTGTAGGTGACAGATTCATGAGATAAATATCCAATCAGTTTCTCTCTATTCCCAATCTGATTAATATAGTTTATGTGTATACATGTATTTATGTAGGTATACACACTTATACATATATTTCTGAATTAACATTTATGATACATCATACATACAACTATAGAATGTTCCTTGGTTCACAAACGTGATTCTATGCATGATTCTGGTCACAATCCAAGTTGGACAAGAACCGAATCAAATTCAACAGTAGGTTCAATGTTGACTTTATAGGGAAATTTGATTCAGTTCTTGTCTAGTTCAGTTTGTGACAAAGATCATGGAAAGAATTGAGTTCATGAACTGAGGTACTATGTATATAATGAATATGTTTGATATTTAAATCTGAGGTTTTTAAAAACATAAAGGTAAACAAGCACTATTATATATATATATATATTTGTCAATACTAAATAAGTTAAAATATTTTAAATCTCAGAAATTTGGAAATTGGGACATTGATATATCATGAATTTTAAAGTCTCACATGCTTGCAGGAGGATTGCTTCTTCCCAACAAGGAAGGCAGCCAAGAAGAAGGATTTGGAAGGAGGAAATTAATGTCAGGAATGGTAATGCATTTCTGTGGGTATGCTGTGAAGACTCCTTCAGTATATCTTTGAGTAACTGTATACCAAAGCTTCATAAAAATGCATTAGCAAGTAAAACATTAGGGTGAAGAGTAAATCTTTAGGTAAATATAAGCTGTGTGACATATACAACAGGTCACTTCTGTGAGTTTATCAGTCCTGAAAATAAGTTGAATAAGAAATATAGCAAAATTCAAGCTGGATTTTGTAGGAAAACCAAGGGGGAAGGCTGGTAGATAACAGTTCAATTGGAAGGAATGTACAATGCATGCGTGCTTGTAAATTGCAGCAGAAAAAATCTCTATGATCGCATTTCCCTTACATGTGCACACTGAGGGCAATGTCTCCACAGACCTCTCCAGCACAAAGGCAGACTTAGCATGTCTTCAGGGAGCAGCTTTTATGCTCAGACCAGTCGTGAGCTAAGCCGTGGTGAAGTGAGATTGAACACAGCTAACTGATTCCTTCCCAACCCTTCCCTCTGAGTTCTGTCCAGTTACCTCAGCTTGAGCATGACCAGGAGAAGGACTCCACAGGTGACTGTCATGCACATGACAGCATAGATTACTTCTCCTAGGAAGAGAAGATTTTAAAAAGGTCACTGGAGTTTTAGAGGGAATAATAGAAGTATCATAGAGGCCTGATTGTATACTGACCATTGATGGGAGAAGGCAATCCAGTTAGAGTAATTTCTTTTGCATGTTTTCTTTTATATAATGTAATGCCTTCAACATTAGACAGGATTGGATAATCTAAAAAAATGATAAAAATGAGATAAAAGTATGGAAATTTCATATTACTTTCATCCTTTGAGTTATTTGCTTAATACTATGTTATAACAGGGATTTATTTCTATGACACTATTTTAATCAATAAATTGTCACGAAAGCAGGAAGATCCTTAAATTTTAACAGTTGTTTCTTCTTTTTATGACACAATTTCCTTACAGAAACTATTTTTTCAACCCATGCTTAGTAAAAGATATTTTAGAATATAATTCATTGTACCTTACATATGGACTAGAAAAACAAAATGTGACATTATCCTACCCACTAAGATACTGGGAAATATTCCTCCCTTTCAAAAGTGATTGTTTGCATTTGCTTTTGACGATCTCTCATTTCCCTGTGGCCCACAGTTTAAATGAGTTCCCATACAGCACAATTCCTAAGCCGAACACTCCACATTATAATGCCTGATTTTGTTTATTTCCTGCTGTTCTGTCTCTCCACCTCCACAAGTCAGAACTTCATTTCTACTAATAAAACCTAAGTACTTTGAAGATAACAACACAGCATCTCTTAACTATTGCTACTCTCTTATTATTCTGTTTTACTTTTTCATAAAATAAAGAAACAAAAACAAAACAAAACAAAAAACCCCATCTTTTGTCCCTTAGAAGAAGTAGTCCTAACCATTGTGAAGCTCAGGTCTTCCTGGTCATGTCTCTGTGGAATCCATTCCCAGTACTTTCCAGTATTTCCCCAATTTAAAATCTTTCTTCCTGTTGACCAGGTTTTAAAAAGAAATCTTTTCTTATGGAGATATGTTCTTTTCTCTGGTTTTTCTAATTTAAGGAAGAAATTACATAATCTTAAAAATTAATTGGTAGATTTACTTCAATTGGTTTTTATATGTAAGAGAAATCATCCCTAGTTTTGACTCAATCCATCATAAACCTAAATGCAAAACATAACCAATATCCCAATAACCAATTTCTTTGATGATGATAATGATTCCAATTAGTTTGGAGCCATTAACAAAATGAAAGAAAGAAAAATGAGGGCAATTCTCCACGTGAGAGAAGCTTTGCTATTTAGCTGTTTCATGAATTTGTGGACCTGGAAATTTAGATATCAGTGTACAGTGGTTACAGAAATGAGTACATTGAGTGTCATTCTTTAGATTTAGAATGTTCCCAAAAGGCCTCATGGGCTCATAGGTACAGCTTTCCCAAGGTGGTAGAATTATGGGGTGCACAGAGCTAACTTGCTATTGGATGTGGCTCCCAATAGGAGGAGGCGGCTCACTGGAGTTGTAACCGGAAAGTGTGTATCTACCTCCTGGGCCTCTTGCTTTTCTTTCCACTTCTTTGTCACCATGATGTAAGCGGCTGTTCCTTTGCTGTGCCCTCTCCCATGCCATTCTGCCTTGGAGAAAGCTGATTATGGGCTATAACCTCAAGTCAAAATAAACTTCACCTTTACATTGTGTCAGGTATTTGTCCCAGCCATGAGAAAAGTGACCAAGACATCAAGTATCAGAATATTTTATCTGTTGACAATAGGCAACAATAATAACGGAGAGATGGGAAGATACATTTCCGAAGGTGCACTCCAGTCCTCTCTCTGCTTGAGGCTGCTGTTGTGCACAAATCTGCTTCTAGGACTCTGGGAAATTAGTTTGTGTTCTAGGTTAAGAATACTCAGTGGAAAGACTGGAGTTTCAGTGATAAAACTTTCAGGGTGGTTGTGGAAGAGCACCCCAATACAAGAACTAGAAAAGTTAACAGTGGGTCCTTAGAAAACTTGAGGCTGCAAATGTAGCTCCATGGTTAGGGACCTTAACTCACATGCATAAAACTTCAGTTCAACCAGTTTAAACATTTTCAGTTTCAAAATTTTTTAGCCCCCAAGTTGCATAATAAGTTATTGTCAGATATTTGAGAAGATTCTTCTTAGAAACTGGAAAATCAAACTCTTCAGAATGTAAAAGTATAGGGAGGCTGAGGCACAAGTATAGGAAGTTTGAGCCCAACCTGGGCAACTTAGTGACTTAATGAGACCCTGTGTCAAAAAATAAAAAAGGGCTGGGGATGTAGCTCAGTGCAACAGGTCTGGGTTCAATCTCTAGTACCAAATAAAATAAATAAAGGAAGTAGAGCTTGTGATTTTTTTTCACCTTTTTCAACTGTAAGGCTGGAATGAAAATATTGAGTAATTTCAAAAAACATTGTTTTTTATGATGGCTTTTTTGGAAGAATTAATTTTAATCAAGTCAAACATATATTTTTAGTGAAATATATTACCTTAAATAAAATATTGTATTTAAAATACTATATTTAAAACAATTCAGAGTATAAAGAATAGTTTTGTTTCTCTTTAAAGTATATGGCATTTTGCGAAGTTTTAGACAGATTCATGACCTAAATATAAATATATATAATACACATATGCTGACTAATTATTCAAATAACGTTATGAATTTCCTTTCTGAAATTCTTTAAGTATATTTAATCTGATTAATATCACAATTTGATTCATATTTGCATTAGAAAGTATTAATTCCAAATTAGGCTTATATTTTGCATATATATCTGCCAACAATAATTGTTAAATATTCACCTAGAAAAGTTTAGAAAGAATCATCTCATTCACTAAATTTAACTCACATGGAACTCATTAACAAAATCGTAATAGATCAATGCCAGGAATGCCAGTAACGATCCCAGTGAAAATTTGAATGTGTCCAGCAATCACTCCACAATCTTAAATAGTGTACCCTAGGAGAATACCAAATATCAGTCAGGGAGACTAATATAACTGATGGTTTTTAGCTACTGAAGCCCATTGGAGATTCTCCTCTGCCTTTTATAAATAGTAAGGTTTATAGTGTTTTATAACCATGAAATTAAACTCGGGAGTTGATAATTAACCTCAGTCCCACACCATCTGCTGCATTTATAGATAAACACACCAGTGACTTGTTTATTTTGACTTATATCCTAGAGGAATTAAAGCCTGTTACAAACTGTATAATAAAATCCCTGTACATTTGATGGGAAATCAATATCAATTTCAACCTTGCTTTAAGAACAAATTTAAATAGTATTCTCCCTAAATGAGCTAAATAGATGTCAACATTTCAATTTATTTTTTCTTTTAAGATTCTTGTTCAACAGTGACTAAAAGCTGAAAAAGACTTCGACTCTGGTTTCTATAATTTATATTGGATGATAAATGCATTGTAAAAGTTATAATGCATAAAATAAAAAATGATTTAAAATTTATGAAATATGATCATCTGAAATTAAACTGCAAATTTGTAGACCTTCATTTCATTTTACTTTAATTGAAACATAACAGGGAGGGCTCAACTTGGAAAAAAAATTGCTCCTATCTAGAATGAGTTAAATGAGGGAAAATGTATTCCCAGAATTGAGTAGTAATTTTTACCTTGAATTATACAAGTATTAGGGAGCTTATTATACAGAAAAAGAAAATATAAGGTAAGGAAAGGAATAGTTTCTTCTATGTTTTATAACTTTAATAATTATGTGAAGTGAATAACATTTGATTGTTTTTAGTTAAAAAATCTATAAATGACAGTATCATTGATTATCTAGATAGGTTTCTGATATCTTTATTTGAAACTGAAAATTTCACCAATTTGTAAATGTGTGTGATTTTACTTTGATGGCTTATATAATTGTTTTCACTGGGCTGGCTGAGAACAGGGGAAAGAAAATAAGGAAAAAATAAATTCAGGCATTCTGCAAAGTCTTCATAGTCATCTGGAATCATGAGCTGTTGGAGAGAGCTTTTTAAGTTATTACACTTTTAAATATGAAAAATATAAACAATGTAGTATCTCTTATAAATAGATTTGCAGATCAGCAAGGAATATCAGATATGAAATTATGAATTATGTTTTTGATTCTTCTTATTCAGCGATCTTCTTGACAACAAACATTGAGTCTAATTTACAATAGAACTGGTCTATCACTATGTCAGGTCCATGCAGTTTCTAGTGGCCGAAGAGTATGTATTGTCACGTTTCTCAATAGCACATCTGTTACTGTGTAGCATACGATTATATTTTAGTTTATTTTTGACAGATATTAGTCAATTGTCTTCACATAAATCACATATTTTTCACCATTTCTAAAGTATAAATCCAGTGTCACTCAGCAATGCATAGGCTTACTCTATCAATAAATATTTATTAAGCAATTTTTTTTCCTGGAGATTAATTCTACCAGTCAAATTTGCCTACTTAGAGGCAAAAAGTAAGCATTGGATTGGGCATTGGATTAGAGATACCTAAGAAAAGTAAAGCATTTGGAGAATTTCTTTGTGTTTCTACTTTTGCATTGAAAAATGAGAGTAATAATGCCTATGCTTGCAAGATTGTTTTCAAGATTAAAACTGCTATTAAAATTGATATCCAACTAACAGCTCTTTGGGACCTCTTTGGGCAAGAACACACAATTATAATGAGATTGGAAATGAAAGCAAGGAGAAAAGAAAGAATTTACTATATTTGCTAGTTCCTTTTCTCTTTCACTTTCCCCTTTCTTTCCTTTCTTCCATCTTTCCTGTCTTCCTTTGACTAGTGATCACTTACTGTTGACAAATACTGGAGCTAAAAAGGCAATACACATATGCTTTTTCAGTGTTTCAAACACCAGGTTTGTTGCCCTTGCTGTTGCCTCCCAAAGACCACTTTAGAGAGGATGTCTGAGATCACATTCTGATACCTCTACTTTCCTCCCTTCTCACTCAGGCGTTTGCTGCCATCCAGAGAGGATCCCACACTGCTCTAATAAAGGGTTAATAATACAGTGGCCTTCTGTCACCATTCTTCACTAGCCAGTATAGTGAGCATTGTCTCCCTCTTCATCCCTCACCAAACACTTCAAACAGCTCCCTCAACACCACTGCACTGAAAGTATCCTTTCAAGGTCATCTCAGACCAATATGGCCATTTCACTTTATTTTTGCTTATTGGTTCCTCCCACCAACCCCAACTT